ACCTTTCAGGAGTGGGACGTCGGTCTTCTGGATCGTTGGGAAAAGAATGCAACAGGCTCTGCGAGGATGGATGAAAACCCCTTGAACAAGAAGGTAGAAGAAGGATTCGAGTTGTTCAAACTGCCGGCAGGAATGGAAGAGCTTTATCTTTGAGAATGGCAGTCTCGAAGTTCGTTCGCATCACTCGAGTGCTGATGACCGAACGCACCAGCGTACTGGTTATTATCTGACTTGGACTAAATGGTTTTAGACGCAACTCGCGGTGGTATGATTCTGGTTCGCCACTTCACCCAGGTACAGTGCTTCTCAACCGCTACGAATTGCAGCAATGAAGAGCCTGAGTGCACACAGAGAGCAAACACAGGATATTGACGTTCGGTGCCGGATCGAGATGCCATTTTGCGGCGCATCTATATTCGTTCTAATGCTATCAGCGATGGCATGACCCGGCCTTGGGTCGTCTGTGGGTGCTGCCGTTGATACATGCACCATGACAGAATGGGCCAAAGTGTTGTGAGCTACAGCCACGGTCTCTTGGTGCATTACTGCAAGATACGATAGCCCGCCGTCCGCACTCATTCTATGAGTAGCGAGTACAAACTGTTATCTCGATTAAAGCGATGATGCCAAAGTGACCGCTTTGCATCCAGGGTTGCATTTCTACGAACACTGAGGGTTGAGTAACCATATATCCTCACAAATATAACACCATTATAAGGTGACCAGTCGGGTGTCGCCTATGATGGCAAGACAGCCAGAAACCTATGAATGATTATTCGCTCTCGACGATTCTTGTCCTTCTGATGAGATTATCGGTCCTGACCCTGAATGCAGATGATGCACATGTCAAATGTCACAGATCATTTTGTTTCACAACCGACTCTCATTGGGCGGTTACTGTCCTAGAAGATATATCTGGTCGATATGAACTTTACTGGTCAATCACGGATAAGCTATCCTCGCTCGGGCAGAGCGAGTAATATGTAAAGCGATTATTCTAAACACGAGAGAGGCGTATAGGTGAGAGGGAGCCTCGTAGCCTCGCAGCCTCGCCAGTTGCACTCGAGGAATGTTCTTGGCGGGTCGGCCAACTTGCCCATATTGAGATTTCTGGCCTAGACCGATTACGGACTTGCAGCTTGGCCCATCTCGACATCACGGTCCGCAGAAAGCTCAATCGGAGCTTGATATTGCTCACAGGCATTCTCTTCCAACATCACTGAGCTCGCCTTAACCATGAGTGCCCTCCGACTGTCCCGAGCAGCGCTACGCGCCAGGTCTACGATTGCCCTGAAACCGATCCAGCGACGAGGGTACGCCGAGGCCGTCTCCGACAAAATAAAGCTCTCCCTGGCCCTTCCTCACCAGGTATGTCCGCCAGAGTTCCCTGGCCAGCAAAGCAATAGAAGGAGGATTGTACTTGGAAGAGCTGAACTGACAATTTGGTCGATTATCTAGTCCATCTATTCTTCACAGGATGTGTACGTTCCCAACAGCCTCCTCGAACCCAGGCCAAGAATCCGCGCCAAAAGATCCGAGCTGACAGCGCCTCCTACAGTGTACAGGTGAACATTCCTGCTGAGTCCGGAGAAATGGGTATCCTTGCGCAGCACGTTCCATCCATTGAACAGCTGAAACCGGGCTTGGTCGAAATCATCGAGGAGAGTGGTGGAAGCAAACAATTTTTCCGTACGTTCCTAAGTTAAAAGAAGGGTCTACACTATACGCTGAGAGAGTCAATCACTAACACCAAATGGCTTGCTGGCAGTTTCGGGAGGCTTCGCCGTCGTTCAACCAGACTCCGTGCTGAGCATAAACGCCGTTGAAGGTTTCCCCCTTGAGGACTTTAGTGAAGAGGCGGTTAAGTCACAAATAGCGGAGGCTCAAAAGATTGCTAGCGGGAGTGGAAGCGAGCAAGACATTGCGGAGGCTAAGATTGAGCTCGAGGTGAGATTATACAAGCTGGGCTACCGAGTGATGCGCTGACAACATCTTTACACAGGTTCTCGAGTCGTTGCAAGCCGCAATGAAGTAAGAGGTTGATTCACTACGCTTTGTACATATAGAGTAAGGCGGAGGGATCACCGGAAATGAGAAGTGCTATCCAGGTCTCAGATGGCTTGAATTGAACAATTTCCGTGTGCTACTTGACTTTGTTCGTGTTCTCTTTCTCTACAACAGTTGAGCAGCCAGATTGCCTTTGTGTGCGAGAAGGTGCTTGGAGACATGATATCCGGGTTCTGCATCCCATTAAACCCCGGCCCGTGTGGTTCATGCTCCTGCCTTGTCGTGGTTTTGTTGTGTGCGTCACTGCCTCCCGTCAGGAACGATCCTTTGCCTGCTCTCTTCTCATGGGTTACATTTTTTTTACCTTGATTTATTGTCTACTTCTCCCCTCAAAGCGCCGCGGTCACAATGATAGGTCCCATATCAACATAGCCGCTCTACTCATCTCCAAACATGGATAGCTCGCAGAGGTCTGTTCTCTTGCTTTACCTTTGTCGAGCCCGGCATGCTGATCAATGCCCAGTTCGCAAGGTGGCACGGTTGCCAGCCGTGTTCGAGTTTTCCAGGCGGCCCAGCAACTCGAGACAAGCATCCCACCCTTCTCTCTCCCACCTCGTGCTCTAGACCAAGCCAAAGGGTTCAGTGCTATCGCTGCTGAAATAGGGAGGAACTCCAGTCTCGCATCTTCAGCTAGAAGAACGTTCAGGGACAGTAGCGAAGGGACCCTAGCAGAGGGACGTCCGCACGCCGCTTCCATCCTTCACAAGAGGATTGCAAGCCATGAGAAAGGAGACAACCACGAGATTGTTCCTTTGCGGCCTTTCACCAGCATGGACGGACCGGATGATGAAAGATCCCCTGCCCGGCGGCCTGCACTGCGCCAAGTCGGTCATCAAGTCCATCGGCATCGCTCAATGGAAAACGTCGCAAACGACCCTGCCCTAGAGATTACCATGGCTAGATCTCGACTTCGATCCGTCGCCCCGAAACAACAGAATCGAGAAGAACCATCTCGCGGCCGCTCCCATACGATGGACGAGTTGAACAACATGTTGGATGACGCGATCAAGAATAGCTCACCCAAACCTGATGTTCCTCCCAATGACCAGCATGGCAATCTCGCGCCCAAAGCCGGCTTCGTCCTTCGTCGAGCATCCGCACGGCAAGATCGTCGCCCATCACAGTCTCGTCCGCGGTCGACGCGAAGGAGCACCGAATCCGTCGTGCCTCGTAGCAGTGAGGAATCAGTGCGAGTAGAGTACGAGAGGGGGAAGGAGACGGAGGATCAGAAACAGGCTGATTTAAGTAGCAAACAGACTCACAATCCAGAGTCTCCTGTCGCTCCGCAGCTGAAACCAGGTGCAGTTCCAACCAGCGAATTGAGTCCTGTCAAGCAGAGAGCTGCCCTCTTTGAGAGCCTCAGCCAAAATCTTACGGAACATGATCGAGTTTGTCAACACTTCGGACACGAACATGAACCATCACATCCACATCCACATCACCACCCTCCTCCACGCAAGGAGATCAAGAAGATTCACCGCATCAAGTTTGGAGACACGATTGAGGAAAGACCTGGCACTCCCTTGATTCCCTTGACATTGCCAACGCTTGTTACGCAAGAGAAGACCAGCAGGCCTCCGAGTACATTGAAAAAGGAACATGTCGAAGCCGAACTCCCCGGGCCTACAGGCGAAGGCGCCGCGAGCGACGATGTTTTTCAGGAAGACAGGAAGCCTTCATTGAGCTGGCCATTTAGATGGAGCATTTTTAACAAGGGCACCTCTGCGCCTCCTCAAGAGACTGAGGGGCTCTCGGACACTGCGCAGGCGAAGGACGAACACTATCCCTCCACGCGACAGAGTATTGTCCGGAGTAAGGTCAAGGATTTGCTTCAAGCTGCAAACGAGAAAAATGATGCAGAGCAGCGACGACGAGACGACGAGAGAGGTCGCCTCAGCCGAAGATCGACTAGAACCCAACCACCACAAAGACAGACAGAAACAAGCCACGACGAGACAAGACAAGAGACAACCGTCGAGCCAACGTCAACGCAGACTCCCAAAAAAGAGCTATTCCACAACCTGAAAATTCTCGCCGAGACCAGCGATAACAAGCCCACCCCTAGGACTCCTCTACAACGTGCCATGTCAGAGAAACAGGTCTTTGCGCCACCTGCACCACCTGATCCGGAGAGTGAATCTGGGTCAAGTCCACGGAAACCTCCGCACACTCCCATTCGTGGAAGATCCATCTCTACCCATCGACCTGTACTGGGGGAACAGAAACGCTCTGTACAGCAGCAGTTCAGTCTTAGCCCCGGACCAAACCACAGTGGTTCGAAACAGCGGCAGGGTGTCAAGGTCGAGGTAGAGATACGTGACAGCCCAGAGCGCGAGGCTAGGGATAGGGGAGACAAGATTGTCATCATCAGGGCAGATGTCTCCGAGATGGAGGATGATAGATAATCGAGGGGGGGACCATCAGCTGGTAGACAGCTTGACCGTACTTTATCGCGACGCACGGCTGCTGATAAGATGGCGAAAGGGTAAGATGGCATCAGTGATTATTGGCGTGGTTCTGTTGGGCAAGAAAGGAAAGCAGCAAGTCATGTTGGTTGGTATAGGTATGGTATATCTTAAGAAGCACCAAGTGCGGCATGCTTCAAGCATGATTTGACATGGATGGAGTGGGCAAGCAGAGGTCTGGACTATATCGATTGGTTCACAGAGCTTCCTGGTTGAAATTGTATTTCGCCTTGACCTTGGTTAACGAGTGTGATTCTAAGATGTTGAGAATAGACCTGAACGGCCGAACGGCGCAATGAACATCCTCGTTCTGACCTGACCTGGAGCATTTCATTCTCTTTCACCCCCTCGCGCGTACTAATTATTGATTCAGTGCTTGATGTTGTCACCCCAACACAGGAAAGAGATTAAAAAGCTTCCCTTCCCTTCTCTTCTCTCGCTTCGCGAGACTCCTCCGTCGATTGGGTTTCACTCGATGAGTTTCTTCAGATCATCCCGCCGCTCGATCTCGTCGAGCATCTTGCGGAAATTGTCGTCGTCGTGCTCATGGGCCTGGGTCTTGAAAAAGGGCATGTTTGAGCGCAGCCACGTCGATTCGGAGCCGGCCTGCAAATTGCACGAGGTAGATGAGTATAGTAAGTACAGTAGTGAGTGAGTGAGTGAATGAGTGAGTAGATGGAATACATATATAGGGATATCCCGCCCAGGGGGGGAGGTGGAAGTGGACTTACATCCGGAATGGTCACGCCGTTCTCCCGTGCCGCGATCATGGGGTAGAAGACGATAAAGTGCATCTTCTTCGCCGTCGCCGTCGCTTTGTTACCCGAGCCGGTGGCATCGGAGCCGACGACAGCGTACCACTCGGCCTCGATCTTCTCGGCCAGATCGTCAAAGACGGCTTTGGTGCGGGACGCCGACGTGCGCACCATGGCGAGGATCCTGTTCGGGCCCGCGTGGTTGTGCACCACGGGCTCGCCGGCGAGAAAGTACGTGTTTTCTTCGTCGTCTTCGTCTTCTCCGTCACCATTGGCATCACTCGCCGACGATTCGGAAGAGAGCGGTTTGGATTTGGATTTGGAGTTGGAGGTGGATTTTGCAGAGAGACGGTGGAAGCTGACGTTGACAAACAGCGACGGCGTCAAAAAGGTCGTCGAGTGCAGGCGCGTGACGGCCTGGGCGAAGCGGTGTTTTTGATCCCGCGTGAGAGGGTACGTGTGTTGGATCTGTGAGGTGCAAGAGGAGGTATTTCAACACCAAGAGCCACAAACCAAGAATAGGATGGCTCGCATACCATACACACAAACAGACGCAGAGAGAGAGGAGGGGGGAGGGGGAAGTTGGAAAGGGGGACAGAATGGCCAAGTGTAGCCAAAATTTGGTCAAGATGACAGAGCAGCAATATCAAACGAGACGTTGATCTCTCTCATACATAACCACGTCACGAGGCTGAAACCCCCTTCTCTTCTCTTCCTCCTTTTCCCCTCGCTTCATGGGTAGCTAGCTACCAGATGGGGAGACACATAGACCAGCCCCAACGAGCCGAGCCGAGCAGAGTATCGCAGAGCAGATCAGACATATAATAACGACAACAACACAACACAACTCATAGGGGATATTCTTCTGGATGCTGGCTCACCTCGTAAAAAGGCATCGTGTCCTGGTTTAGTTCTGCCTTCTCTTGCCTTGTTCGTCCTTGTCCTTATTCTCTGGCTGTAGCTGGCCAGGAAGTTGAGGATATCAATGATATCAACTTCTAAAAGAGGCTTTCCTCGCAACGAGGGAGAGAGAGACTGAGAGAGGCTGGGGAGATGCACAGAAAAGAAAAGCCCTAGGGATCAGACAGAAGTAGCAGATGATGATACGGAGAACAGAGTACAGAGGATCAAGACGGTGGGAATGTGAAAGTTGACGATATAGCGATAGAGGGAAAGAATATGTAGCATTGAAGGTGGAGAGAGAGAGACATACACACATCAACATCATAGGGTATCATCATCATCATTATATTCTCCATACATACATACCTCCATGCACCTCTCACTCTCTCTCCGCAGTGAATGAATGGGTGAATGGATGAATGAATACTAATCACCTACTTACCCTGCATGTTCCCGCCAAGTCCAACTAACTCCGCATTTTCTCGCCATTGGAGTCCAGAGAACCTCGGGGGATCACATTGGTAGGTACTCTTTGAGAAGCTTCATCAGACAAGGACATAGACAATTTTGATTTGATTGAAAAAGAAAGCTTTGACCCCTGTATCTGCCCACAAGCTATCAAGGTCAACAGCACCATACCACACCACATTACTAACTGTCGCCGAAAGAAAACTCGTTGCATGACTTATTGGACACTGCACAACTGGGATATGCTGTACAAAGCCGCCAGCTGACCTGGAACCTCTCCACGATTGACAACAGGCAGACTATCCTCAACAGGCCCTTACATGAATTCTCCCACAAATTTCACGCCAAACTCCTGTCACTCACACAATAGCGCTCTGCTTTGATCCTCCCTTTGTCTTATGCGGGTCAAATTGCCGCACATTGTTGCCGTCTCGCTATTATTTCACTGTTAGGTGGTATCTTGCTCTTTTTCAAGTGCACATGGACCAAAATCCCACGCTTGAAGGTCGCTCCCGATCACCCTCACGATGCGGCTCCTGTTTGTTGTCGTCATTGCTCTGTTGCTCTCCCTCCCCGCCTAAACAATCCTTTGACAGCATTCGCAATGGCAGGACTGGTGACCAAAGCGCACAAGATGCCAAAGAATAAGAATATTCCCAGCGCAATGTAAATGCCCGTGGTGTAGGCAGAGGATGGCGGTGAGACGAGGTTGTTGACGGCAGAAGATGCGGTTGAATCGCTGGATGTAGGTGAACCACTGTAAGTCACAGTAAAGCTGGGTGATGACAGTGGCGACGATGTGAGAACCGTGGTCATAGACAGAGATGTCGACAGCAGAGGCAAGGTGGATGATGGTGATAGAGGTGTCCGGCTTGCGCTTTCGACTGCCGTTGAGCTTGTACTTGTGCTGAGATCGACCTCACTCACAGTCGTTGACGGATCTGAGACTTGTGAATCTTCGCTTCGCCATTCCGCCCATTGGGACCTCGCGATTTCCGCTGACACATCGTCTGCAGTGTTGGACTGAGTGGGAACCGTGGTGTCTATCATCTCCATAACCGTTCTGGTGAATCTGGCGCTGTTGTCTGGATGCAGGGCTGTCACAATGACGCGGTGACTGGAGGTTGAAGAGGGAAGGTTGGTCGGTGAGCAGGAGATTGGACTGTGGTCCGGTTCGCAAATGTGTGTCATCGCGTTGCTCAACGGGTCGTCAAGGTGAGGTTCACGAGGGAGGAACGGACTCATTGAGAAGGAAAAGGACAAGGAAGGCACGTCGAAAGGATAAGCGGCGTGTTGAGGATGAAATGGTCTGACTGCTCGCTGTCAATCTGGGGGTTTCCAGTAAGCGCAATTGGAATTGAAATTGGAATTGGTGAATCTCAGCAAAGTGAGTGGGTTGGGCCAACGCGAGGGAGGAAGGGCGTTGGGACAACGCGGTGACCTGCGTTGGACTGACGGTGCAACCGCACCCAGAAGATGTCGGTGAACAGACGAGAAAATCATCACACAGGACAGAGACAAATTCCACCTCTCAAAGAGCCCAGTCGTTGTATGGAAACATGGCACCTGGCGTCTGAGCGAATAGAGAGGTCATGCATGCATGAGGCTGGGTATCTAGCGATAAGTGAATCAACGCATAAACGCACCAACGCACCCATACTCCTAGAAGCCCGCTTGCAAAGCTGGAGATGGTTCAATGCCGCCCTTTTGGTAGTGTTTGCTTGCATCTTCTTCACCAGTTACTCATTAAACCCGCTCGAGGGATGAATACTAGGCATCTTGCTCGAGAGCGACGTCTGTTGCCGTGGCCGGCGCTGCGCTTTCATGAGACGCACCAGTCTCACCTTCGCCAGCCTGCCCTGTTGGTCCAGGATGTTCCGATATCGCTGGATCGCCTGACGCCGGCTGACCCTTCAGAGGAGCCTCATCTTCGGCATCCATTTGGAGCAAGAACGTTTCCCAGAGTTCGATCAGCTGTTGGCCACGTTAGCAGATATTGCCGTCCCCTGAGACAGTGAGACATACCTCTTTCTGAGCCTCAACGGCACCCTCTAGAAACGTCTCTACGCCACTCTTGAAATCTTCCACCTTTTCCCGCTCAAATCTTTCCAGTTCACCCCTCATTAGTCGGCCCATGTCTTCAAACAATAGTCGAGCTTGGTGGGCTTTCTTCTCCGCGTCGCTAACACTGGCACCAACCTCGTTCAGCTTGTCTTGTTGGCTTTTACCCTGCCTCAGGAGCTTCTCGTGGGCACTTCGTCGCTTGGCTAACTCGCTCTCTGCGGCATGCCAGGCATGGAATGCCTTCTGCCGCTGTGAAAAAGCTTGCTTAACACTGCCAATAAGTCTAATATACTCATCCACGGTAATGCCCAGGGTCAAGATATCTTGTTGTGCTTGTCTTTCATAGAGCTCTCGGATCCTCATCTGCACATCCGACAACCCCTGTAAAGGACCGGAGAATGCAGGAGAGAGGTCAACTTGGGCGAGGCTATTAACCGACGCGGCGAACTCTCCGGCAGCGGCGGCAAGACCCTTCCTTTGGTCAACGACAGTGTCGACGGCCTTCATTAGTGCCTTCAACTGGTTTTCTAGAGCGTCAAGGTAGACTCTGCGGTCGTGGAACCAATCATCGTGCTCGACGAATTTGCCGCTCGACGAACCCACGTTGATCCCGATAGCACTCAGCATCCCCTTATTTTGACCCAGGTCTGGTTCCCGGTTTTCCTTGTTCTTGACATCAATGTTAAAGGCCTCGCTTTCCAAGAAGATCTTGAGATCGGCATCGTGATGGAGGATCGGATGAGCGGCAATCTTGTTGAGCATTCGCTCCAAAGCCTGACGTCTTGACTCGACAAACTCGCTATCGAACCTACCCACGGCTTGTTTTTCGGGCGGGGGAGGGACGACCACACCGGGGTTGTTGTTGTGCAATGCGTTGTAGAGCCAAAGGAAATCCCGATACCGACGTGATACGGCAAATTCAGGCTGTTTATATGCTTTTGACGTTGTCTATATCCGTCAGCATCTGTAGCACCATTGAACCAACTCACGTACCTTTGTGCGGACTTGGTACACAATGTGACTGCTGGTTAAATCCCCGACCTTGTGCGGGTCGCCCACCGAAATCTCGAAGCTCGGTTTCGCCGCTTGTTCCACGCTCACGCTAGAAGGGGTTTGTCGGGCGGCGGGAGCGCTGGTCTGTGGCTGGACCGGAGGCGGACCCTTGGGTCTCCCTAGAGGAAGCGTGGTGTCTTCATATTCCGAACCGGCGAAACCAGGAGAGGTCGCAGAAGGCTGTCGATTCACTCTGGCCGTGAGTTCTTTCCTCGGCGGAGTTGGTGCCTGATCTACAGATATGGAAGACGGGGCTGGAGCTGGATCTGCGCCCAGGGGACCAAGAGGATCGAGGGAATCATCCACGGCTTCGAGCTTGGTCGGTTGGACTTCGATCTTGCGAGCCGGGATCTTTCGAGACGAAGGGGGCCGCGGGCCGGAGGACGGGGTCTGTTTCGCGGACGACGGGGCTATATTTCAGGTGAGCGTCATGGACTCAGCGATCCTGAGAGTGTGTGTTCATACTGTCATTCGGTTTGGCTGAGCTACCGAGTTCTTGTGGGTTATCTGACTGCGATTGAGAGGGAACATCTACTCAAAGTGGTCAGCGAGATTGGCGGCAATGTCCTCGGAAGCAGTCGCCTACCACCCCATGGTGAGTCATCCATATTTGCAGGTATGGAGAGTTGAACCGGGAGATATAGTACTGTCAATGCAGGTCGAGAAAGAGGTGGTGGCTATTGCCTGGATCTTTCTGCACCGCGGAGCAAAGAAGCCAAACTCGCCAAATCCCCGGATGCACGAATGATTGGCCTCCCACCCTCCGTTTCCGCGAACTCAGAGCTAACTAAAAGGGCACTGGTCGGACAGAGACCGGCGTAGTTCAGGCTTTTGAGAATACAATGTTAACATTACACAGTTCTATATTGTGACTTTAAGAGAAGAAGGGTTAAGAGAGTGTTGCACAACATATATGTATACTCTCGATCTGTTGCCGTGATGGAGCATTGCGAGTTTCAGACAGTGGCAGCTCGATCAGGCGCACCTCTCTCCCTATCATAGTCAACCTGCAAGCTGAGCTGGGCACATTATACAAGCAATAAGCATCGCTGCCTTGGACCGAACTTCGCTTCCCAATGGTCTGGGCCATGATGACTCCTGCGGCGACGAAGAAAGAGGGCCAGTTGACAATAATATTGCCAGGCTCCGTGAACAAGGCCACTAGCACAATGTGTAGCTAGCAATGTAGCATGATACAGAGACCAATGTTCCAATGTCATCTTTGGTTGGTCTTTCGACAAGCACATAATGTACATTGACCAATCTATTTTGAATGGTCCCGTTCGCTGCGATGCAGAGATGCTCCTCAAAGTTGATTATAATACCCTACTTCTTCCCACTCTTTTTCGGCTGCGTCTGCCCATTCTGTGGTGTGCTTTCTTGGCCAAATGAACTGACAAAGTCCAATAGATTGATGTCATCCTCTGCAAACATGTTTTGCTCCTCCTCAAAAGCCGGTTCCCTTGCAGGGGCTGCTTTGCTCGCCGGTGAGGGAGAGGAGGGTGTGGGAGTGGTCTCAACATCCTGCTCAGCCTTTTTCGTCGTCTTTGCACTGTCAAAGCTGGTGCCGAACCGGGCTCGAAAGCTTGCCAACCTCCCTGACTCGTCATCTTCAACGTTTAAGAGCTCCTTCGACGTGGGATTCCACAAGGGAGAATTTCTGGTGTCTCGAGTCGATCGGTAAACCGGTATAGGTGAGGTAGTTCGCATGGTGAAAGCACTCCCGTCAGAGAGCGTAACTAGTTGGGTGAATGTATACGGTCGCTTCGGTCGCTTTATGAGTCGTGCGTGCCGGCATGCTTGACAGATATAGGTTGTGGAGGGTGTGGCCGAAGGAAGACTCGGTAGTGAGTTGGGTCGCAGGACAGGACGAAGCGCGACCGACATTGCGTCCTCGGGAGATGTTATCGAAGGGACAGTTGGTGAGCAAAGTGATTAGCAATAGATTGTCTTTAGAGGAGAAGTCGATACCGACAGGATTTGGACTCTGCTCAATAGCATCCTGGTACTGGCAGTTACCAAAGATCTCCGCCAAGCCATGGTTTTCAACTACTCGCCTCACCTACCTGATTAGGCAAGATAGCAATGCCGCCCTTACTGTGACTCGGTAAAAGTATCTACAGCGATCCAGAAATTCTAGAGTTGTACGAAATGGTCAAGATTGGGCTTCGATGGTATGTTGAAACAGTCCTTGAAGTCGAAGAAAGTCACATACTCCAAAGGAAGACGCCATAGTCCGGCGCATATTAGCCACGAGTAGTAAGAGAAGTTGGCACCCTGGGCCTCAAGGCTGGCCTTTATTCTGGGGAATATCATCTCAATGCTAGGGAGGAGACAGGACGGGCGAGGGATTTGGTGTGTTAGTCCAGAGATAACCTGTCAAGCGCGGTTAGACCGACCAGAACCCTACTTATTTAAGATGTACCGTAGCCACTATTCGTTTGTAATGTATGATCAGCGTGCAATTAAATGACTTTCAACGTCACTAGAGCACTTTCGACGGCCATCCTTTACCTGGAATTGTTACATGTTGGACCGGGTTTGCGTCTTCGCAATTCTATTCCATCTAGCCGGAACCGGGTATACTGTTTCCCACAACATAACCATACGAGCATCGCTATTTGATCTTGTGCCCCACAGTTGTAGAGGAACCTCCAGTTTCATTTGTCCTCGAGGTAACGGCATTCCTGAAAACACATGCCGTTGACGACACGTTGAAATTACGAGGCAATATTATCCCAGCGCTGGTTCTGGTGGTACCGTAGTGAATAACTAGCGATTGAGTCCACGAGGACAGGAACGCGCGCCATGGCCTATGACCGAGCATGATAATATTCTTCTGTATGCCTTGCGCGGACATAATGGCTGTATTGTATACGGATTGCCGGCCGTGCCTGAGCAAGCTCGATACTTATCCATGGTCCTCTCGCTGAAACAGTGCATAAAAGAAGTTTCGTTTCCCCCAAGGACATGTCACCTCTATCCAAGGAAGCCCAGACCAGTGGTTCGGACGAGACAATGAGTCCTCAAAAGTAGCCCTTATGATCGGTGCAGGTAAGCATTGACTCTGCTGTAGACTAGACATGGCTGATGATACATTTCTTCTCAGCCACCGATTTCGGCCACACAACCGCTCTAGACATGGCCAACAAGGGATGGAAGGTGGTCATCGCAAATATCAACAAACTCAAAGGGTGAGAAACAGCAGAACTGGTAAAAGGCGACTTCATCGTGGCTGGTGTCAGGTCTTGGGAGGCTCAGTACTCTGCGTTCAAAATGACCTTTGACAAGTATGGCTGGCTCGACTTTGGTATTCTCCAAACATTGTCTGTGTGATGGCAATTGCTCTGCTGACCTGGGAATCTAGTTTTTGCGAACGCAGGCCTGTCGACCGCTCTGACCCTTTTCACTCTGGAAATGATGATTTTGATTTAGTCCAGCCTCCGGACCTGAATTCAACGGTGGTAAACTTCATCGGTTCCACATATACAGTTCTTCTTGCCATGAAGTACTTTCACAAGAACCCCATGGTCGGAGGAGATCTCATCATGACAGCTAGTGTAGCGGGACTATATCCGACACCGGTGATGCCATTCTCCTGCGGTGGTAAACACGGTGTCGTCGGATTCGGTCGTGCCATGGGTGGAAGCCCGGTGAAAGAGGGGATGCTAGTCAATGTCCTTGTGCCGGAATGGTTCCAACCACAATAATGACAGAGGAAATTCTTGCTCATACGGATCCTGCCCTCTTTACGTCTCCCCAGCACTGGCTGCTGCAGTGGCGGACATTCTTGAAAAGAGAATCAGTAGAGCAACGTGTGAGGCAAGTGTAAACAAGCTCTTCTATCGTGATCCTCCAGAGTTTCTCGATGAGGCACAAAGGAAGGTGATGGGAGCCAATAGCCTGCTGTAGGCTGCAGAATTCGAACGAGGGGATTGTAGCCTGCAGCCTCAGAAGTGGAAGGGATGCCGTATTGTACGCAGGGGTCGGCGAATCGACGAGAGGAGGGGGGAGCAGCAGAGCCTAGGTCTGAAAGTAAAGACAAAGACAAAGTCGAAGGGGGCTAAGAATGGAGTCCCCCTGGCTGTCGTCAACTGTAGGACGCATCTTGGGACAGGACGTACCTTGGGAGTACAGCAGAAATGAGACAGTTGCTATGAGGGTGAGTGAGAGCATGAGCAGGAGGGTTATAGGAGCGTGTGAAGAAGATGGAAAGAGGAAGAGTTGCATTTGCCGCCAAGATGAGGAACAGAGATTCCTGATCCCTTGTATTTCGAACCTGTCCCCGGGACGACCTACACAAACCACAAAGATCCCTTCAGCCTGGAGGTGATGCATATCTCAAGGGCTTGTACCATCCTTGTGATGCATCGCTGCGAGTCGAGGTCTCGTTAGCGGCCCTCATGAGCGACTGCTCCTGCGCTTTCACCTCCTCTTCGCTGCCAGCATGATCCCTCCCTCTTCTCTCGATGCAGCTGTGCCCAAACAAAACATTCGCTCTCAGCCATCACAGGGCTATGGATGTGAATCTGAGGCTCGGTTCCCGTGCGGCTTCCAAGAAGTGAAAAAACTCAACTAGCGACAGGATCTGGATCAAGCCCTTCCGATATGAAATCGCACCCTGTGGAGCGTCTTCACTACCATCTCAAGTGCTATCTCGATGGACGGTAGCAGGCCATGACGATGAGCGACGGGCTTCGAGGCCACAAGGAGCGCATTTTGCCTGGTGTACCGAGTAAAACCAACCCTATCATCGTGAGCGTTTGCCGTCTCAAAAAGCTGGGTATTCGGGCATGCAAACCGCGTTCGCTGCTCTCACGCCGGTGGCATGATCACGAAGAATTTCCGAGAGGACCATGCCTTTCTCAATCTAATACTTGTACCGAGTGCTGAGTACTTGGTATCTTGTCAGTCCCTTGGCGGTGAGACTGGTCGAAGCTTAAGACCAAGGCCTGCTTGGAATGCACCTTGGACATTGGATGCCCCAGTCTGCTGCCGTAATGGCTTCTTCATGGCTTCAAGCCCACAATGCCATAGCCAGCAAAGCTACCACTTGACCTCAAGGTCGCTTGGTTTGGCTTGCTGCTAGGCTACTATCCACTGAATACATGATCGGTTACAAGTTTGATTGTCGCCAAACCTCCTTTAGGTAAGATTTCGGGGGCGCATGATTGGGAGGAGTCCCCCTGCCTGCTGCGTCCGAGCTGGGGGCTCCGTCTTCCCATTAGGATCCAACCAGGTTACAACATCCTCTTCCGGTGGGTTTTGCAGTCGTCTTACAGAGGTGTGGTAAGGAAGCTTAATCAGCATTTCCAGACCGTAGATTCGATGAGATACTGAGCAGAGATGCCCGATATCGTTGGCTGAGTGTTGCGCGATAGATATCCACGAACTTTCGACATCGGTGTTCCACCGAGAACTACATTTATAAGGACACATGGAGAACATGCTCCTTTGGCTGGGCCTCTGAGATGCTTAGGGGAAGAAACCCCTGGACAACCGCTATGCAACCATGACAAAGGTCACCCTCCACTTCCTCCCTGTGAGAACCTCGACTCTCAAATGGACAAAGCGAGATGCTGAACTCACCGATGCCGAAGCCAAGTCCCACGCCCGGCGTTCTTCTCACGTGCTGGCTAAGCATCCCAAGCCCAAAGTGCGTGGTCATGAAAGGGTCGGGTCGCAGTCCATCTTGCGACTAAAGCAAAAGACGAAGGTGAGCCTGCCAATGCCAGCAAAAACTAACGAAGAATACCAACTGACACATGTCGCCGTAGAGAGCCGAAAGAACGAGTGCCAATGACACCCGGCGTCAGATCTCGAAGAGAATGCAAACAAATATGCCCCTTAGCATTGGAGACCCGGCTGGATGCGATCCTTTCGTCCGCTTTCCGTGCGTGACTGGGTCGGTTGAGCACAAGTTGTTCCATTTCCGTCAGCTTCAAGACTCCTACTACCCTCTCTTCGGGTCTCCCCAGACTAACGGGGTGATGCTGGTTCATAGTCATGTCGTACGTGCCTGGCAGATTCTACGCCACGAAACCTTGGGCAGCATACGACGTGCTGCGAGACTCGGTCATGCCCGAGATCCTGACCGGGAGTGCATACATGTCTCTTGCTCTGTACATTGCCGCGTCCATTGTGAACACGCTCAAGCCGCAACCGCAGTTCTCGGAAGAGTGGATGCTCACCCGTCAGTCGACAAACTATCGACTATTGAGACAGCTGCTGAAAAATCAGCAGGGTCACCCGTGGGACTGGGCCATCACATGCATTGTCGTGGCGGGCTACGCTGAATCCATGGCCGGATTGGCAGACCGCGGCCGAAAACACACAAAAGCCGGCCTCGTTATGCTGCAGGACTTTCGAAACCTTCAACGCATGAGACTTTCTTCAGGATCCATCGCTTTCAAGGTCTTTCTGCAGACCGGCGTGCCGATGATGTTCACGACAAGTGCTGCGCTCGAGACGGCGATGAACAGTGCTTGTCAGAACCTACGGCGAATCCAATCTTGGACGCGTCTCAAGCGGAGAGCACGTTGCTCTAGCCTCCATTGTCAGTATCATTCCCCTGAATCGGCAGCAAACGACGAGGCCACGGAGCCAGCAGTGAGCTCGAATGGACAGTGTCGTTATTGGACTGCACGGCAACGTGCACTTGGGCCGACAACAGCCATGGGCCGCTTACTGGCATCCAAGCCGATCCAAATGCCCATGTCGGACGAGAGGCTAGTGATGGCAACCATCTACGCTCTCAACGGCATCCTCTGTAATCTGCAAGGCGACGACGCTGCAGCAGAAACATTTTTAGCCAATGTTGGCGAGATGACGGTGAACAGCCTTGACGAGGGCGTCGACCTAAGTGTGCCACCACGATTTGCCTTGCAGAACTGTGTCCACATTGTTATCGCCTGCGCCGAGAAGCAGGGCCTGTGGTTCTACCACGGTCCAGGACATGCGCTACCCGCCATGCGCACCTGGGAGGCGCTCGAGTTTGTGGAGATCACGATGCTGACGTCGCCCGCGAAGCAGCAGAAGATCATGGCTGCGTTGCGAGGTTGGCTTTGCTGGCAACCTCAAGAGCTGACGACGGGAGGAGGAGATACATCCCTCTTTAGCGACGACAAGGAGCTGCAAGAGTTCAAGGATGAAATCATCGCCAACTGGAAGGCCAGAAGAGGTTCAGGGACTTCGAGTCGAGAAACAGCCACGCATGCAAAGCACCCTTGACAGTCCAGCTCCGGGTACAAGAAGATATCCACAGCGACTAAATGCCGCTGCGATCTCATGACGGTATATATACTGGTCGTTCTATGGTCCCCGTTCTCAGTATACCAGAGTCTATGGTAGAGTGATGCATCCTGCTCTTATATTCATGGTAACAGACCACCCTTTTGTTTTTTTTAGCTCCCGGTACAAAACATGTTGACCGGTGGGATCAGGCTGGAGTGCTGGTTCTTAGAGTCTACTTCTCTAAGGGACGCTTGGAGAATCCGAGGACTTCGATCACCGAGCCCTCCTGTCTCCCCCCTCCGAGGATGGCTGTCTCCTGATATTCCATACTCCAAGTCATGGCTGTGGAGGAAAATACAGTGCGACGACAAAACAACTTTTGCGTGATGACCTCCATCAGTCATCGTTTCCCCTTTCTCATGCTATTTACACCCTCCAACAACTTTTGAAAGGAGGATTGCGCGTCTTTTGTGCGCGTCAATATCTGAAATATGTTACCAAGCAAACACTGGCGGAATACGTTGAAATTTGCAAGTGGTGGGTCAGTCGCGTCTGATTCTTGCCGAGCGACACCATTACCAACTGGCGCCAATGGCAGGCAGACAGCAGAGGCGGGTGTTTTGAGATAATAGATAGGACGGCCGCTCTCTAGGATGCGGGCGGATGTGTTGTCTTGAGGGATACGAGTCCCGAATCGGTCTCGATACAACATTCAACTCATCGGTCCACCATTTGGGCAGTACTCCTTTGGGACCCTTCTTAGGGACGGCGTCTGCTCAACAGTGTCGGTATCTGCGTGAATCTCCTTTAGTGGAGTCGTTGACGGCCATTGATGTCAGGGTGGTCCTAAGACATGGTCTCAGGGGGAAGGAAGTTTCGTGGATCACAGATAGAATCCAATCCTTTGATGTTCAAGACTACAGGGAGAGAGGCTTCCTCCCGTAGACATTGTAACTGAATCATGTCAGCCGTTTCCTCTCTTTCCTGCTATCGGTGTCGATGTCGGCACTTACTAGAAGATATAACTGTGCATTCGCGGATTGCGCAGTTCGCGTTTCGTCTCGGCAATGAGGACCTGCAATTCGTCGGGATCGCCCCCCAAGACGGCGGTGTAGCCGCGAAGCAGGTAGGCGTCGAGCCCGTTCCTGAGGCTGAAGTTTTCGTAGGCGCCGATCTCCTTGAGCCTGGCGTCTCTGGGCCAGATGCCCTGTGGCACCTTGTAGACGGACTCGGAGACGTCGACGAAGCCGGCGCGCTCCATCTGCGCCTTCCACAGCGTGGGCGCGTTCAGCGACGCCCCCATGGCCTCGGCCATCTCGAAGAACAGTCTCTGGACTTCCTTCAGGTGCGAGTCCGCCGGCAGCGTGCCGTCGTCCGACGTGGGCGTCGGGTACGTGCCCCCGACTTCCATGTACGCACCGGGCCGGAGGTGGTCGAAGGCCTGTCGGAACAGCCGGTCCCAGTCGCGGATGGCCATGATAAGCTCGCGCGCGTGGATAAAGTCGAAGTTGGTAGTGGAGAAGAGCCATTCGTCCTCGATGTCCTGGACCTCGAATTGGCAGTTTGGCGGCACCCATTCGGGCTGCACGGGCGCGATGTCCACGCCCGTCACAGAGGCCGTCTCGTACTGGTCGGCGGCTTCGATGGCCCAGATGCCTGACCCGGTGCCCAGGTCCAATATCCTCGCCGGCGCGGGGAGCATCGGGGCACGGTGCAGCCGCCCACCGATGATGAGGCGGAATTTGACGTGCTGGATGTTGTTGCGCTCCTGCTCCCGTTCGTCGATGGGGAGGCCGTACATGTTTCTGCCGTAGGCGGGGTACTGCCGGCCATTTTCCTCGATGCCGTGGCGGATGTGCGATTCGATCGAGGTCACGTAGCTGCTCGCATCGTCTGATACTAACGAGGCGTACGTTTCGTCCTCAAAGGACTGAGTTTCGTCGACATGGATAAGATCCTCATTGTGGGCTGCCATCAGGTCTAGCAAGGGCTAACTTGTGCGAGTAGTAGCCAGCTAGAGGTGCTTTAGAGTGGGAAGCGGAGGAGTGTGTTTGAACCGGGCGTGACGGGGAAATCGAGGGGCGATAAAGGATCCTAGATTCCGAGCCTATTGTGAACTAGTAGCGTGATCCATCGACGAGGCGATGTCGGCTACTTTTCGCACCATCGCGAAGGTTGAGAAAGAGGGGTTACCAGCTCCATTTTGCGATAAACCTTCAACCCTTTCTGAGACGCGATTCCGCAAACGGGACCGGGAAGTATCATGGCGCCACCCTCATTGCCTTCACATGTTGACATGGACGTCGTCTCCAAACTTTTACAAGATGTGAACGAGCATGTCCAAGCCCTTGGCTCGGGAGACCTCAAGGCACGCGAAGCAGCGGTTGAGGCTTGTCGGTCGCTTGCCGCAACCCTGGAAACTCCCAGTGAGGCGGTGGTGAGAATGACATGGGTCGAGGTTAGCATGTCGTACCATCTACCGTTGGCATGGGCATTTCTCTCTGACCCTGAGCAACCACAAACAGCCGAGCCATCTTGCAGCGCTGCGCATGGCTGTTGATCTGCGGCTCTTTGATCATCTTTCTGCAGACCAGGGTTGTCCGAAAACCAGTGATCAAATTGCGGCAGCGTGCTCAGCGGAGCCATGGTTGGTTGGTTCGGCCAGCCCATTGACCACGCAAGGTTTCGTGAAGGGCACTGTCTTCGTGCTGACACGAGCATCGACTCCTAGACCGAATGATGAAGCATCTCGCTGCGATGAACACCCTCCGTCAAGTCGATGCAAACAGCTACGTGCCAAATCCTTTTGCACAAGCCATGACGAAATCCATCTTTAGGGAAAGCATTGTTTTGATGTGCGTTACTTGACGCGAAGCGATAACCTGATCCCCTTCACATGAAGCTGATAATATGACCGGGGTGCTGGAGAATATAGGCACGATATCTGCATCCCGATTAACCTGAAGACAGCCGAGTTCTTTGCGGAGAATGGCTATACAAGCCCAACCAATGCACTCGACACACCGACGCAACATACATTCAATGCAAAGGGGAAAACGCATATCTTAGACATATTCGCGCAACAGGGCCAGACCCATGGACTTGCCAGTATGATGGCTACGTGGATGCTCGACCGGCCGCACTGGTCCGACGACGACTTGGGATTCTATCCTGTGAAGGAACGACTAATACAAGGCGTGACGGGCGACGATGATTCCGTCTTTCTGGTGGATCTCGGAGGTAGTGTAGGGCACGATCTGGAGAAGTTTCTCGTTCGACACCCGTTCGATACCTTCCCAGGGTATCTGGTCCTTCAAGATCGTGCTGAAGTTATCGAATCGATCCCCGAGAATAGCTTGAAGGCTGGGATTCGCGCAATCGCCCATGACTTTTTCACCCCACAACCCGTACAAGGTAAGTACAGTAACGATTCTGTTTTGTGCACGAAGCCACTCCCAAGGCTATAGCCATTTCGTCTGGAATACACGTTAAATGACTTGCAGGGGCGAGAACGTATTTCTTGCACAGTATCATCCATGACTATCCCGACGACAGGGCACAGCTGATTCTGAAGAACATCGCTCGAGCAATGAAGAAGGGGCACTCCAAACTTATCATATGGGATTTCGTGCTTCCCGACAAGGCTGTGGCCTCGACGCTGACAGCTCTCGATTGGGAAATGATGTCCTTTTACGCCGCGAGTGAGAGGTCAGAGGGTCAGTGGAAGACACTGATTGAAGATCCCGAGATTGGGTTGAAAGTCAACGGGATCTGGAGCTACAGTCAGTTTGACCAGAGCGTGATTGAAGCAGAACTGGCTTGAGCTGGTACTCATATTCTCTTTATAGCTGAGTCAGTTTCCATGCCGCCTTTCATGAGAATAGAAGTTTAGAGACACTGGTAGATCTGACCCAGGACATACCTTGGGTCCTCACCTTCAACCTTGAGTTGACTGCTCGTGTTTTGAGCCCATGCTGAGCAAACCCTTTGGTAGATGGATGAATTCGAGGTTCAATTAGGGATGCGTTCAATAGGTCTGGTATCCAAGATGCCTTAAGGTGAAGGCGTTTGGAGAGGGAAAGGTAAAGACTTGTTGTTCAGGGTCTCGGTGCTGGTGGAAGGGAGCATTTTGATAATGCCAAGGCTGCGCCCACAGCGAGCGCAGTAAAGGCGGCAGGGCGGGTCCCTGGCCTGCGCCCGCATGTTGTAAAGAGGCAACTTGTTGTCGTCTCCAACTGCGGCTTCTCCTGGTCTGTAAATTTTGTCGCTTGCCCATGCGAATCTAGATCACCCTTACCTGATTGCCTGGCTAACTACCAATTCTCCCCTCCCATGGTCCGCCTGACAACCACTGATCTCTCCTTCCGCACCGCACTCCGCCTAACATGTCCGACCCAAAAGTCGCGGCCGATTTTGATGCAATCATTCAGGCTGGTATTTCGCTCCCCGTACTCCTCTTTGCGCTTGACGGACCGACCGCCTAACGGGACTTGCAGACCGGCAGCGCAAAAAGAATGAAGCTCTAGCAAATGAGATCTTTGGTAGAAACAAAGCGAACAAGAACATCCCGAGGAGCGCAAGCAAAGGCTCTTTAAGGACGCCAGACCTTGCGAGTCGCATCACAAAGGTATAACTAAGCAGAAAGCCCCGTCAAGCTGGAGGTGTTGTCCGGTGTCCTTGCTGATGGGAGCGGCCGGTATAGCGATCTTCGTCTGTTACAAGTTCAGGCTCTTCCCGTAACATTCTATCCACTCCACCCTCACGGCCCTCCTCGACCACCCCTCAAACTGCACGCTCATCTCGCCTCGCCTTTGCTCTCGAGTCTTCAGATGCGAACATTGTTTCCTCTCAACCAAATACAAGAGGCTCAGGCATAAGCATCAGAGGCAAGGCGGGGCGCTTCGTGGTAGAGGCCAGCAATTTCGCGCCCGGTACCACGGCCGCCGATATCGAATCTGCGCTACAGGGTGAAACTTTGGACGAGAATGGCGTTAGCGGAATGATCTCATGTCGCCTTGTCAAGACAAGTCCAGTTGTGGTCGCGGAGCTGGTGTTTACTGAGAAGCAGATTGCGGAGCAGATTATATCCACTTACAACAACCAAAAGGCAGACGGACGTATCTTGCGGCTCTTCCTCAAAAGATCTGGACTAGATTCTGCAGCTACTTCACAATCCAACCAACTCGCCTCCAATCCCGCACCTGAATCGCTGATATCAGAAACACAACGTCTCCCAGATAATGGGATCACTATGGAAGACATCGAGATGGAAACCGAGGCCGCGACCTCTTTCGACGATCGACGCAACCTAGACCCTAAAAACGCTGAAGCGGACGTTCAAGATAGACGCTACGGAGTCGAAAAGCCGCAGTCTTCGGATACACATACGCGTCACACTGACCGAAGGAGAGACGATGATCGACGAGATCGAGATCGCAACTACGAGCGTAGCCATGACAATGACCACGAACAGGAACGAGAGCGAGAGAGAGAACGTGATCGTGAGCGCGACCGCGATCGAGAGCGGGATCGGGATAGAGATCGAGATCGCTATGACCGTCGCGATCCTCGACCTGCGGGCCACGGCTCCTATCGTCGAGGTGACAGACTTGATGCCTACAACTCACGACCCTCACACTACGGCAATGGAGTCGGCGGAGGTCCCGGATTCGGGAGAGGGATGTTTGGCGGTGGTGCACCAGGGCCCTTCCCACGAGGTGGCGGTCGGATATACGGCGACGACGGGATGCGTGGCGGTCGGCGAGGCGGCGCACCAGGCGGGTTCGGACATGGTGGTTATCCAAGGAGAGGAGGGTACTAGTGATGCCCGCCTGCGTCTATGTGTTTAGACCTACCTGGAGCTTGGGACCAAATTGAGGCAGCGAGCACCGCGCTCGCTATAGCCGTGGACCAGCTCCGGCCACACTACATTGTGCTGTGCTGTGATCTCTTTCCATCGGTGGTCCCAGCCCAGCCTTCAATTGTACTTGTACGATGGCGAAGAAAGGAAAAGCAAAAGGAAGACCTCATCGGGCTCGGATTCGGATCATTACCTTTCCTATTGACAGAAAACCCAAAACTGCCATGTCTGCGGACCACGCACCGCAGTGCAGAGCCCGTCACAACCTTATGCCGGGTTATCCCGTCCAGGCAAATGAATGAACGGGTGGGAGGGCAGAAGAGAAGAGAGCGGGAAAAGAAAAACAAAAGCAAGAGATCCCGGAAAAGACCAAGTGGAAACAAAATTCGGATGGACAAGATCTCCCTTGCGTGCTTGTGTGTGCGTGTGCGCGTGACTGCGACTTTATTACAACGCCCGTGAATGCAGTATCGTAGCATATCTTGTCTGTTTCCAGTGTCCCGTCCCTTCCCATCCCATCCGCCTCGGGTCAGCCCGTGACGCTTTTCGTCGTCCGTAGTATTCTTGCCTGAGTAGCCAATGTCTCGAGCTGCGCCACCACCTTCCCTGAATGTGTGGTTATCAGGCAAGAAAGAATCCATTGTGCATGTTGATCAATCAAACAAAACATAAACGGAATCTAATCCCAGGTATCCGTCTCCCATGGAGCTCAAAGCCCACCATTGCCCGTCAACTACCCGTGAAAACGCCTCGCTGACCGTTCCATTACACCCTGTCCCATGTTCTCGTCTGTCTCCTTGAAACGCAACCCAACCTTCGTATCATCAAGCATGACTTCCGCAACCACATAGACTCCCGCATCTCGGACCGAGGGAAGGCGGCTCAATCACTCTTCAACATGCTCTCCACCAAATCCCCGAGAGGCCCCCAGTAATCCTTGCCCCCGCCCTTTTCAAGACCGTGTTCATCCACGAATAGCACGAAGTGCTTGAAACTCGTGTTCAGGTGCGGCTCCAGCCCGAGGTGCACAATGACTTGATAATGGTGGCAATAGATGTGTGCGTACACGCGGTAGAGACGCTTGAAGAGTTGTCGTACCGTCGAGGGGAAATGTTTAGGGAATGGGACGCCGATTCGGGAGGGGAAGGTGCTCTCGTTGTCGATATTCGACTGCACCCAGGTCATGAGATGTTCAATGTATTCCGGGGCTGGCATTTTAGTGGGCTTGGGGAAGCCGGTCGCGGCATCTTGCCAAAGATATTCGAACCTACATGCAGCGTTAGAGGTCGCAAGTTGAGTGCTGCGGTAAACGTGGCGCAAGATTCGCCAAATATAGGGTCAACATACTCATCAGTGGCTTTCATCTCTGGGCAAGATTGTGGTGAGCAGAATTCTGTGATTGATCCATAAAGCAGGTTGATCTGATTGTAGAAATCGACCACTGTCATCCTGTCAGCGACTCCTCTCTGCAAAATCTCTTATATGACCCTGGCTGGGAGGCATGTAACCTTACCGTTCACTGCGAGCCACTCGTTCAGATCTTCTCCCTCGGGCAATTTGACAGCCTTTCTCAGGCTGCCGCTTCCCAGGGTCGCTTCGGCGAATTGTCTCAGCTGATAGCTTGAGGTTCCCTTGTTGGCGCGTTGCGGTTTGAACTGGCCTCGAGTGCGGGCATTGCTAGATGGTGAAGAACTTCGGTCAACATTGTTCGAGGAAGGGGAAGAAAACAGGCCCAGACGGAGGAGTTGGACGGCGCGGGAAGGCGTGCTGGGTGAAGCCGTGGCTGTGTTTGAAGCCTCCTTTTCTTCACTTTTGTCACAAGAGGTGTAGGAGTTGATGGTAATGCATGAAGAGGATTGTTTCAAGGTCAAATGAGGGGATAGAGGCTGTGGAGTGGGAGAGGAATTGAGAAACTCGTACATGGTGGTCAGAAATGAAGCCATGCGGGAGGATAGTGATCTGGTCTTCAACTGTGGGAGAGATTGCAGGTCAAATCTCTATCAGGACGCGGCGATATCTACTGCACATTCCAGGAGTCAGTGGTCAAAGTGTCCTGAAGATGTGAAGTTGTGTCTGGCGCCCTACTCACAGACAATCGAGCGACCGCCTTCCTCTCTTCAAGGCGCGGTCAATATGGACAAACAAAGTTGCTCGCGCAGGAATGCAACGAAGATGGAACAATTGTATGGCAGAAGTGTTTGCACAGGCTGAATTCGATATGAAAGATCACGCCTGCGTGTTCCATCATCATCATAAGTCGGTGATCCTTCTTGCGGGAAACGACAATCGGAGGTTGAATCCCTTGGCGGCCAAGTAGCCACAGCAACAGGGAGAACTTCGGCATTTAAGTCTCACCATCAATCGAGGAATGCAATTACTCCAAGGAACCCAATGTCTCCATGTCGACACTGTAGACGCAGGAGCAGTGAATTATTGACCAATATGGAAATCTGGAGTCTGGCAATTGGGCCAGATGATGTCCTACCAGCTTCGAGCATTTGTACCTAAAAGTGACTTCCGGCTTTGCCCACGAGTCCCCATCGTATCCTTTTCCTGCAAAGCAGTCCACGGTGGCTTGCTCTGCAGCCCAAGCCTATCCACATATACCTCGCATATGACATACACTTTGGTAAAAACAGACATCCAGCGTGAAAGTGCCACGCAGGACCGCAAGTTCGCTAAACATCAGACCTAGATCCACCCGCTTGTCTCCACCATCGCTCACAACTTTGGCGACGTCATAATGTCCTGCACAAGGCTGCGGACTTCACTCTCAAGCTCTTGGGTCTCCTTGTGTGGATCGTACATTTTGTCCTTGATCCATGCTTCCAATTGACTGTCGCTCATCTCGCGCAGATGGTGCAGACGGTCCACATTGTCTTTCTGTGCCGCCCGGATGACGTACAGCGCCACACGAGCACTAACATCTCGAATGCGTGTGATCGAGGGGTACATCAATGCTT